TGCAGCCTATGTACTGGTTTTTATCGGCTTTTACCATCAGTATACTTCAAAAGTGACATTTGTAATCTGAGTTGGTTAGATTAAGATCACATCAATTACAGAAGTGTGGTAGGTTCATCTTGTTGAACTATCAGTAGAGCATTCTCAACTGGCCAGTGAATAGACATACAATAGTGACCTGTTTGAAAAAGAACACACATTCTAGCTTCTTAGAGTGCTGTTTAAATTGGTGCTGTTTGGGAAGACATATTGAAAGGGGGGTTAAGTCTTAACATTATAATTGGCCTTCTAAATTTTACATAAAATGTAATTGCTGGAAATACTGCCACTACTGGAGACTAGTTTAATAAATAGTTAGTAGTTTTGTCTTCCTGCTTAAATATTAGTATAATTACTGGCTTGTGATGTCTTCAGACTTGGGGGAGGTGGGGAGTGGGCGTAAAGGGTGACCCCCTGGCCTGGGCAGGAAAGAGCATTGGGGGTCAGATGACCCCACCTAGGTGCTTGTCCAGTCTCCTATTGGAGACCCCCAAGGTAGGGCTTGGAAGCCCATTCCAGATTCTGGCAACCCTTACCGTAAAGAAGTTCTTCCTGATGCCTAGCTTAAATCTGCTCTCCATCAATTTGTGACCGTTGTTCCTAGTTACTCCAGGGGGTGCCCTAGTAAACAGAGCATCTCCTGTTCCGTGCGGCCCTCCCCTGATAAATTTATAGGCAGCCACAAGATCACCTTTCAGTTTTGTCTTGCGCAGGCTGAAGAGATCTAGATCCCTCAGTCTCTCTTCACAGGGCCTTTCCTGCAGGCCTCTGACCATACGAGTGGCCGTCCTCTGAACCCTCAAGATTCTGCGCATCCCTCTTGAAGTGTGGCACCCAAAACTGAATGCAGTACTCCAGCTGCGGCCTGACCAGTGCCACAGAGAGGGGAGGCATCACCTCCCTGGTCCTGTTCATCATGCACCTGCTAATGCATGATAAAGTGAGGTTATCCTTGTTGATCACCTGGTCACATTGACGATTCATGTTCATCTTGGACTCAACTGTGAGATCCCTTTTCACTGCTGTGCTGCTGAGAAGGTCATCCCTCAGCCTGCAAGTGTGTTGGTGGTTCTTTTTGCCCAGGTGCAGCAGTTTGCAGTTGTCTTTGTTGAACTGCATATCACTTGCTCAGAATATCATTTCTTCAAATATGAAAAGCATACACTTTGTCAAGAATGAAAAGCTTACTGTTTTGTTAGTGGGAAAACGGGAGCACAATTAGAATTGTCGTTCTCTTAACCTGGTAAACATTTTCTCTTTTACATCTGTCCTTTATTACAGTACATATTTTTACCAGTTTACTTGCTGCTTCAACAGGTCTTGTGTTGGTTTCAATTAGACAAATTCAAACAGGCCCAGTCTTGATTGATTTGATTGGTGAGCTGGCTAGACAGAAGCTCAACTTCTTAAAAACTGAATGAATTCTGAAATCAGCTCCATTATTTCCTATACCTAATTTTCCACTGATTTAGTGAAAAGAACATTAACAATTTATTTACAAATAGCTTTTCAGTTTTAAATGCTAGAAGCAAGGGAAGAAACTCAGAATTGTGTCCTAATGTCCACATTTCAGTGTGTTTTTTTTCTTCCTGTTCTGGGTTCAGGAAAGGACTTTATATTTGCAGTGAACTATTCAGGCTAAGTAGTGGAAGGATTCCATTATGATATCACTACTGTTGGCTTGGAAAAAACCTTGCTACTGTCTGGAAGCTTTTACCTGGGTTGTTAGATCTAACACCATAATACCCTGTTGCTAAGAGGCCTGTGCCAACTACAGAGCAGGAAACTGTGAATCAAGTGATACAGAAGTATTCTGAACCAAGTAAATGCATTGAAGTAATGAGAAATGCATTGTTTAAATCTATTAAATAATCTTGGCAGGAGTTTTAACACAAAGTTGGTAGTATGCTGATTTATCAAAAACACTAGTATTAATACAGGGTCTTAATGGCCTTTTTCTCACCTTAAGTAAGCTCAAATTGCAATGGTTATACTAGTATTTAGGGAGACATTTTCTGCTGGAAGCCTCTTAAGTTGGAATTGAAATGAATTCAGTGAGTCTCTGAATTGGCTCAGAAGACTAGTGGTTAAAATGCAGCCATACTAAGTTTTTCCCCTGTTGATTTGTGTTGTTTTTTTCAATACCACAGCAGGAAAACAAAAAACATTCAAAAATAGGAAATTGGATTTTAAAATGACAAAAATGGCTGGGGGTTCAGACAGGTAGAGAAATCAAAGTAACTTTGAAGTTTTTTAAAAAAAAAAAAAAAAAAA